AGGAACTCTGCATCCAGGTACAGAGACGAACTCAACGTCAAGGGCCAGGCCCGACGTGCTGGGGGTGAGGCCCATCTCAGCAGGAGGGAGTTAGTGACAAGCCTGGCCCCGGAGCAGGTGCCCAGGAGGAGGGGAGGCCGTGTGAACCGCCAGTTGGGCCTCGAGCCAGCAGCCCCGCCCGTGTGTCAGGATCGCGTCACTTACAGTCGCTTGATCCCAGACTCTGGCTGGGGGGACATTCTCGGGTGGACGATGGGCGGAGGCTGGGGTATTCGATTCTCCTCTTCTAATTCTTCACTGGAAGGGTTAAGAAGCATAAGACAAGAGAGTCAAAAAAAATTGCATGAGAGCCGGAATATTCCAGGAGGGTGTTACTGTCCAAAAAGGTTCTCAAAACCAAAACTCACTTTTGCGATTTTGAAACGAACTCTCGTGAGGGTGTTTGGGATCTCAAGCGACCCTACCTAGAACCTTTCGCTGCACAAACAGGAATAGGTTTGATTTGGGGAGCTGCCCCAGACCTCCCTGGTGGGGGGCGGTTATAAAACGCACCCGAGCCCGGCCGGCACAGCTCAGCGGCTGAGAGTCGAGCCATGAACCAGGAGGTCGCGGTTCGCTTCCCGGTCAGGGCACAGGCCCGGGCTGTGGGCTCGATCCCCAGCAGGGGGCGTGCAGGAGGCGGCCGGTCCGTGACTCTCATCATGGATGTTTCTCTCCCTTCCCCTCTCTCTAAAATCGATAAAAACATGTATCTTTCAAAAATGCACCCGAGAGTTTCAGAAAGGGTCTGGGAGCTTGTAAGTGCTTCAGGCCAGAGAGAGTCCCCAGAACGGACACAGACACAACCCCGTCTTCTAGGAGCCGGAGGGAGCCGGGCTGGGCGCGTCGGGGGCACTCACCTCTTGTAGTAGGCCAGCTCCTCCTGCAGCAGGAACACCTTGGACTTGAGCTCGTTCCTCTCGTGCAGCACGTCCCGCAGCTCCTGCAGCGTGAACCGGGGGCGGTTGGGGTCCTTGAGGTCCATGGCCGCCTTCTCCGCCTCCGAGATGCTCTCCTCTCCGCCGGGCTCCATCTGCAGGCGGCAGAGACGCTGCTAATGAATTCCTGGCAGCCTCCGCGGGCACCCCCTCCGCATCCTGTCACACGGCACTGCCCACCCTCCCCTCCCCGGGCCTCAGCGCCCGGGGGGGCGCTATTTTAGGAACCTGCAGGACCCCCCTGCTCATGTTCTGCGTAGTTTCTCCGGATCCCAAAGCCTGCGGGCACCTGCTCATTGTTTGCCGGACCACAGGCCCCCGCCGCCCCACCTGACTCGGGGTTTCGTTACCCGGTACATTCAAAGGCGGCCGAGGAGAAACCGCACCGCCCGACGCCACCCCGAGGCCCACCTGCCCCTTCCGTGTCCTCACGCTCTCACCAGCGTGGCGGGAATCGGCGCCTACACAGCACTGTCTCCCTTTCCGCCTGACGTTAAGCCCTGCGCCTTTCCCGTGTTCCTGGCCCCCTGGCCGAGCCCTTCCTCCCCGGGGCTGTGGGCACTCTCCCCGCAGTTCAGTGGAAGCCCAGCTCCGGGGTGGGGGGTGCGGGTCACACGGACGGATCCTAGCATGCTGCTCACCTGACCCAGGCCAGGCCCCAGCCCCGTCCTCCCACCTCCGCCACAGAAAGGAGCTTTTTTTAAAAAAATGATAAAATACACTTGGAATTGGCCATTTTAGGATACACAAGTCGGCGGCATTCAGTACATTCAGTGTTGCGCAGCCACAGCCCCTATCTAGCTTCAGAACTTTGTCGTCACCCGAAAAGAAACCACGCCCGCCGGCAGTCGCTTCCCAGCCCCCCGCCCCCCAGCCTCTGCCCCCCGNAGAAACCACGCCCGCCGGCAGTCGCTTCCCAGCCCCCCGCCGTCTGCTTTCTGTCCCTGTGGGTCCGCCTGTTCGGGGCGTTTCCTATAAACGGACTCCTGTCACATGACCTCCTGCGTCTGGCTTCTCCCCCTCGGCACCACGTCCCCAAGGTTCACCCACACTGCAGCGAGCGTCAGAACTCGGTTCCTTTTCACGGCCGAGTAATATTCCACGGCACGGCCAGGCCACCCTCCGTTTACCCGCCGACGGGCGTTGGGGCTGTTCCTGCCTTCGGACCACTGTGAGCGATGGTGCCGTGAACCCCGGTGTGCGGGGATCTGTCTGAACACCCGTGTTTAATGCTTCGGGGGACACGTCTCCGAGTGGAACTGCTGAGTCACAGGCAGCTGTGACTTTCTGAGGAAGCGCCACACTCCTTTCCACAGCGGGCGTGGGAGGGAGGGCTCCACATTCTCCGCGTCACCGCCAACACGCTTCCCCCCATTCGTCTCGGGAAGGAAGCTGCCTCCACCGAGTCAGCTGGCCAGCCCTGCAGGTGGCCCACTCGGAGCCGCCAACGCCCCGTGGCCGACCAGAAAAAGCTCAGGACAACAGCGGGAAAACTCTGGAGCACGAGGAGGTATTGAAATAAAGCCACACACCCCCCTCCCCAAATAAGCCCCACAGCAGCGCGGGGACCACGGGACTCCAGCCTGGACGGGTGACTCGAGGTCGGGATGCTGAAGGAGTCCGGAAGGCATTCTGGAGAGCGGGACAGGCTGTTCTGGGAAAGGACACTTGAAAGGAGACACCACCCACCAGGGCAGATCTGGTGACAGGAGAGGCACTCGGCAGGCAGGGGCGGGGGGAGTGGGCATGACCCCGAGTCAGCAAGAAGCAGCAGGTGGCAGGAGCAGCAGGAAACCAAAGCCTGACCCCCCCCACCAGCTGGGGAACAGAGTGGGGCCTCCTCCCACCTAAGAACTAAGGCAGGAAGCGGCAGAGGGCCGAATCCCCAAGGCAGTGCGTCTGCTGATGCCACACGACCAGGTGGGCTGTGCCCTCGGGAAACACCTGCGGCGGCCGACTCCCCCGCACAGCTACATGCTTGCACGGTATTCCCCACCGGAGACCACGCACAGCCAGTGCCGGGCGGACAGCAGGCACTCACCAACACCAGCTCACGGCGCTTCCCCTTAACCATGGGCATCCTCGGGTGGCTAATATTTACCCAACACGTATTAAGCATGAACTCTGCGCCTGCTGGTCACTGAGCTAACGAGATGAATTAGACAGGTCCGGGTGCAGGGAAGATACACACAATTAGAAACTTACGAGGTGATACAATAAAAGGGGTGCGAGACATCAAACCCTAACTGGGGAGGACTGCAGAAGGCGTTACTGCAGATGTGGTCTCTGTGCGTGGGGTTTTGACGGATGTGTAGGAGCTCGCTAGAAACTATGCTCTCCCCTCCCTTCAGCCTCCGCCCCTCATTTTGTTTGGCTCTCGCTAAACAAAACTTTTTCCTAAAGTTTTCTATTCTAAAACTTTTGATCTGTGGCCCAAAAGTTTAGATGAGAAGATTTCACACTAAAGGTTAGGTTTAGGGCTTCCTTTTGGATAAAAATTGGAAGATCGGGTCACACTGGACCCCCCTGGCGACACTGGGCTGGGCTGCAGAGCTGCTGCTTCCTCTTTCGTGCTCTTTCCACGCCTGCTCTTTCCTTCTCGGCCCCTGAGGCATCAGCGGCCCCTTCTGTGGACCCAAATCTCAGGCCCATACACTCCCTCCAGGCCCTCCCTTCCCAGGCAAGTCCGGTGTCTCCGTGTGTCTCTNTCAGGCCCATACACTCCCTCCAGGCCCTCCCTTCCCAGGCAAGTCCGGTGTCTCCGGGGGGCCATCTGATAGGTGTCTACCCACCCTGGGGGAGGTGAGAAGCCCTTCAAGACGTTTCCAGAGCCAGGAAGTGCCGGGCAGCTGACCCAGATGCTGGCGAGTTTTTCCACCACAAAAAAATGATAATTATGTGGCGCGACAGGGCTGTCAGCTAACGCTATGGCAGCGCTCACACTGCAATATATTAATGTATTTAATCAACTCGTGTGTACCTTAAACTTACATGATGTTATATGTTAAAAAAAAAATTTTAATTAAAAAAAAGAGGCTCCCAAACCCTTCATTCCCAAGAGGCCTCTGGGCAAGCTGCCCACTCCTCTCCAGGCCTGTATTTCTCCATCCAGCCCTCAATAACCATCACTATCTCCAGGGGCCCTTCCCGCCCAGACACCCGGGGGTCCCTATAAACACTGGTCTCAGGCCGGAGCCTTCCCCGCTCATCCCACAGGCTGTAGTCGCCCAGCACTCAGAGGGGTTCCTTAGAGCCCGAGTTCCTTTACTCTGGAGGCGGGGTGGCTGTTTTAGGGGGGAGCGACCTGATCCCCTTAGAGCTTGGGGGCTTCCCAGGCAGGTCTGCAACCAAGTCCTGGCTTCTGGGGCCACTGCCTGGGAGTGCAGAAGAGGGACAGCTGGGGGCTCTGGCTTCTCCGGAGGCCACCGGTCCCAATGCAGTGCCTGGGGCAACCCCGATCGGCTTGTCCAGACCGAGAGAGACGGCAAAGGCTCACCAGGCACACAATCAGGCCGATCGGCAGCCGGCCTTCTAGGCTTACTGCACCCGGGACGTGGAGGTGGCCTGGGTTATCACAGGCTGTCCGCTGGTCCCACGGGACACTTTGGGCACAGCCTGAGGGAGATGCCTGGGGCCCCAGCTGCTCCCTGGGGAGGCCTAGGAGCCAGGTGACAAGCAGTGGGGCCTGTCCAGAGAGGCGTTAGGGAGGCCACATCTCCATCGGGGCCTCCATCCCGAGGCCTGGCCCCCTGCGCATGCTCCCCGCCGCCTGGGGACGGCATGGCCACGTCCTGTGCCCCAGCCCAGCAAAGCGGACTGACCGTGCTCTGGTCACCCTCGGTATCGCCAGGCCTACCATGAATAAATTCAGCCTGAAGACCCAGCTTCGCCTGATGGCTCCTGTCTGCTTTCCCTGTTTACTTTAAAACAACAACAACAACAACAAAAAAAACCCTTGCCCTGCCCACTGTGGCTCAGTGGTTAGAGAATTGGAACTGCGCACTGAAGGGTCTTGGGGTTTTTTTTTAAGCCCTGACCCAAGGAGTGAGGATATTTTTCCCATTGATTTTAGAGAGAGTGGAAGGGAGGAGGGAGGGCTAGAGACGCTCTGTGGACTTGCCTATTCTGGACACTTCAAATAAGGGGAATCATGTGGTACATGGCCTTTTGTGCTGGTTACTTTCATGCAGCACGTTTTTGGGGTTCATGCATGTTGTAGCAGGTGTCAGTGCTTCATGCCTTTTCATGGCTGAGTAATATTCCACTGTATGGACAGACCACGTCTTGCTCATCCATTCATCAGCTGATGATGGACGTGGGGTGGTTTCTACCTTCTGGCTGCTGTGAACTTTCAACACAACCTATAATTATCTGGATGAACGAGTGAGTGGCAGGTGCCCCGTAGCCAATGCTGAGCTGAATACCCTGGGCTGGAAGGCCGGGGGCCCAGATCGGCCTCTCCCCAGGGTGCTGTGTGTTTTCTAGGCCGCAGCTTGCTCTCTCTGGGCCTCCGTTTCTAAACTAAAGCATCACAGGGAAAACAAGGCAGCCCCGAGCAGGCGTCCACCTCACCTCAGGCTCCTCCTGGCCGTTCTGGCTGCGTTCGCCCCGTAGCCTCTCCCGAAGCTTCCCCAGCTCCGCCCGCAGGCTGCCCATCTCCTGCTCCTTGGTCTGCAGGTCAGCCTCCAGCTCCACCTTCTGCTCGATCAGGGCCTTGCCCTGGGCCTCCACCACGGTGACGCGGTGCCGGAGGTCGTGGTTGATCTTCATGAGCCGGGTCTGCTGCTGCTGCAGCTGGGGGGGAGGGAGGGGTCGCTGAGTGGGGCTGCCCCGGGCACACCATCCACAGGCCTGCCATCTGCTGCCCACGTCTCTGTATGGCTGACATTTGTTCCTATAGCTGCTAACGCCGGAGACGGGCAGTGTGCGTATTGACGATGCTAATTTTACAACCGATGGAGGACACGTGTCTCGCTAGCACGTTGTAACCATTTCCCAGCAGATGGAAGTCACGCGCCTTGAGAAAGGGCGTGTTTTTCTAATTCAGACAGAGACACCCCAGGTTCCTGGGGCCGCCTGGTGGGCACAAAGGGGGTGGGACTCCAGGGACCGTTTGAGAGAGAGACACATCGATCGGCTGCCTCCTGCACGCTTCCCGCCCGGGTTCGGGGAGTGAACCCACAACCCAGGTACATGCCCTTGACCGAGAATCGAACCCATGACACTTCGGTGTGCAGGGGCCGACGCTCTAACCACTGACCCACATCGGCCAGGGCTCCGGGAACCACTTACTCAGGGGGAAGCCTCGGGCTCAGAGCCACGCTGATCGTGGCTCCGGGGCTCCCCAGGGCGTACGCGGCCGGAGGCAGGTCACCGGGCAGGGCCACGGCTTCAGGGCTGGGCCTGCCAGGCTTCAGGCGGGACCCCCGCGCCACCTCGCCCGTGGACTGAGACCCGGGGGTGGGGGAACCTCCTGAGGGGAGATCCAGTCTCGTGCTGGAACCTCCTGGCCAGGAGGGTGGACACGGGGTGGGGACCGGTCACTCACAGCCTCAACGTCCTCATTTCTCAGGCCCAGCTCCCGGTCCTTGGCGCGGATCTCGTCCCGCTGCTTGTCCACCACCTCCTTCAGCTTCTTCATGACCTGCCGCTCCCGCTCCGACATGCCTGGGGGGGGGACCTGCGGGTGAGCCCACCTCCCGGCCCCTCGACCACCCGGCAGCTTCCCGCTGGGCCCCGGGCCTCCTCTCCCCGTTCACCCCACCTCGGCGCTATTTTTTTTTTTGTTTTAAATTATCATATAAGGATATTTTTTCCGTTGGTGTGTTTTTTTAGAGAGAGTAGAAGGGGAGGGAGAGACATCGACGGGAGAGAGACCGGGGCCCCCACGCCGACCCTCCTGACCTTCCTGCTTCTGGAACTCCTCCTCGGAGAAGCTGACGTCCTTGTGCGAGAGGTTGGTCATGAGCTGCTTGTTTTCTTCCTGCAGCTGCGCGATCTGGGACAGGAGGTCCTGCGCCTCCCCTCGCCACACGTCTTCCACCAGCTCCAGCTCCTGCGGAGGCGACGGGCCGGCGTGGGGTCACAGCCCGGGGGGGCACGGCCTCACCCCTGACCCCGGGAGCAGCTCGGAGTTGCCGGGGCTCTGGGTCTCCCCCTCCCCCATGAGAACGGGGCATCGGGCGCCAGCAGCCCGCATGGCACCTCCGCGAGTGACGGGGGAGCCCCTCCTCTGTTAGGACCTGGGCAGGTCAGACCCGCCCCACGGACAACCACGGAGCCCCAGCCGCACCTGTCTGCCGTCTGGACGGGAGAGAGTAAGGAGCAGCCCCAGGCTGGGGGACCCTAACATTCCCAACCTCTCAGGGAGCCCACACCCCTGATCTTCGGACAGACCCTCAGTCAGGACGAACCTCCCTCCAAGGGAGAAAGAGCCTGCAAAGGCCCCGGGGTCCGCCACCCGGCCCCAGAGTTCACGTGGTCTCAGGAAACTTGCTTAACCACTCGGAGCCTCAGTTTCCCGCATTGAGGAGTCAAAAAGAAAGGCTCACGGGGTTGCTGTGAAGATAAACAAGATCCGTCCACTGAAATCATTTTGTGGACAGCTACCGTCAAAGGAATAAAACAACAAACATCGTCATGGCCGCGAAGAGACTGTAAACCCCGCGCACCTCTGGCGGGAATGGGAAACGGTGCAGCTGCTGTGGGGGGCAGTCGGGCAGCTCCTCAAAATGTTAAACAGCTACCACGTGACCCAGCAATTCCACTCCCGGGATCGGCCCGGTCGGGGGTAAGCGCTGGGGTAGGCTGAACGCCGGCCCCCAAAGACATCCGCCCTCTGATGCCCGGAACCTGAGAACAGGTGACCTTACACGGCAAAAGGGACTTTGCAGGTGGGATTCAGTTAAGGATCCTGAGATGGGGGAGGCCCCTGGGTCCTCTGGGTGGGCCCGAGGTCATCACAGGGTCCTTATATGAGCGACAGAAGGAGGCAGGAGGGTCAGAGTCAGAGTGGAAGTGGTGACAGAGCAGAGATCAGAGTTAGATCCTGAAGATGCTCTGCTGCTGGCCTGGACGCTGGAGGGGGGCCGCACATGCCGAGGAAGACACGGGTGGGGGGTGGGGCCGGGTCGGGTCGGGTCTAGAAGCTGGAAAAGGCAAGAAAGTGGGTTCTCTCCTAGAGCCTCCAGAAGGAATGGGGCCCTCCTGACACCTGGATCTTAACCCAGTGAGGCCCAGTCCTGACTTCAGCATTCTACCCAGCATCCTCTGTAACGATGTTATGCATAATATCCTGTTACCCAGTGTGACGACTCGTTTGACAATACGTGAGCCAACAAGCGCGGTCATTTGTTACAGCAGCCACGGGACACGGATGCAGCCTTGCGCCCTCAGTTCTGTCCTTCCTTCTCTCAACGAACTAGAGTTGGCCTGGGGAGGTGGCTACTGCCCCTGAGCTGACCACGCAGAATCGAATCCTGACTCTTTACCAGCTGACAAGCTTAAAAATTTAAACACACGCCCATCTCCTCACTGGAATTCCACCAGCCCAGAGAACAGCCGTGAGCCACACGTGGCTGCTGATCCCTTGAGAGCGGGGCTGGTCTGAACCAGGCGGGCAGTAAGAGCGAAACACTCACTGGATTTAGAAGACACAGTATCCCTCCGCCCCCCCCCCAAAAAAATGCAAAATATCTAATTAATATGTTTTTTTGTAACTACCTGAAGCGATGAATGTTACCTAAAGTTATTCTGGCGATCATGTCACAATATACACATGTATCAAGTCATTATGTTGGACACCTGAAGCTAGTACAATACGTCAATTATATCTCAATAAAGTGATCTGTTACACTGATCACCTGCTAAAATAATAGTATTTTGGGGAGACTGGGTTTGATTAGATATGTTATTAAAATTAACCCCATGTGTGTCTTTTCGTTAATGCGACAAGCCACATTATATTCCTATGGGATAGCACCGTGCTAGAAATTGGGTCCCTGAGGGCCACGACCTCATCTGCTATGGTCACCGCTGTCTCCCAGAACAGCGCCACGCACACAGTAGGCACTCAATAAATACACCTGTTTAACGGGTAAATGAACAATAGACGCTATTTACATTACACGCAGCTGTACCCGCCCAGCCACCGCTTCCTAACTCCTTCCCCGCAGCCCAGCTCTCCCTGCTCTCTCCACACACGTGGCCGGGGTCACGGCGCCCGCTGGGGCTCCTCAGTGGGGCCGCGGACTCAGGCACCAGGTAGAGCAGGCAGAGAAGGGAGGAAGGACGGGAAGAAGGAAGGAAAGACGGGACAAGCGGATAAGATCAAGAGCGTTTTCCACATTTGTGGAAATAACACCTTGAGGAGCCTTTGAGACCGAGGGGGTGGGGGTGGGGAGATCAGGAGACTCTCTCGATTACCTGAGAAGACCAGCAAGGGGACTGGGCCGGGCTGGGGAAAGGCCTGGTCCTCTGATTCAGGAGCGCGCAGCGCAGTGTTTACAAACAAGCCCTGCTTCTGAACACACTGGTGCCGGCTTCCTGCGGATGGCGGTCCAGAGGCGACAAGTGCAGCTGGCTGGGAATTCTGCTGACTCCGGGCCTAGGGCCTCCGACACTCTGAGGGGTGCCTCCCAGCCCGGATGCAGAACTAAAAGCCAGGGGTGGGGGCCACGGGTGCTAGGACCTCCGTGTGGCCTGGGCTAAGCCCCTTGGTCCCTGTTCGTAAGACGTATGGGAGGATTTCAAAGATCCCTTCCCTCCCGGAGAGACGGAGCCACCTGGGGTAGGAGTAGAGGAGCCTGGGATGGGGGTGGGCTCCCCAATATCAGCCTACGAGCACCCCAGGGAAGGCCTCTCCAGGCCTAAAGGTAGTGTTAACACTGACAAGGCCCTCACAGTGGGCCACTCTGTCCTGAGCACGTTACATACATGAACCCTGCAAGACGGGGACTGTTATTGGCGCCCTTTCACAGCTGAGGACACCGAGGCACAGAGAGGCTAGGAGACTCGGCCAACATCACACAGCCTGTGAGTATCAGGGTTGGAAGCCAGGCTGTCCGGCTCCAACGTCCCTGCTCCCTCGAATCCTGACGTTAATTACAGGGCTGGGGCATTTTCAAGCTGCCAGGGTGATCCTGGAAACGTTGCCTAGCTCCTGGGAGCTTGAGTTTCCTTCCTGACCCCAGGGCACAGGGATCTATGAGGACAAACACAGTCCAACCTCAGGAACACTGGTGCTCTCTCTTAGCCACCGACGGTCGGCCCGCAGGTCAAGACTACAGACACTCAACGTACCTACGCCACACACAGGTGGCGGCCTGCCGGGGACGTTCAGAGAGGCAAAGTGTATTTCCTGAGGCCACACAGCAAGCCAGAGCCTGTCAGGCACCTGATCCCCCCCCCAAGGAAAGGCGTCGCCTCCCATTCTCCGTCGGAAGGTCTGACAGGAGCGTCCCTGGGCTGGCGCTGGGACAGGAAGCCCGTCTCCCACTTCCTTTCCCCCAGGCTCCGACCGGAGGCCCTGATTCACCAGCCCAGAGGGCTTCCCCTTCCCGGGGCAGCGGCTTCGCTTTAAATCTGCCCCAAATATCTCCTTCCCCCAACGTAAACAGGTGGACAGGAGACGCTAGAATCATCTCCTATGGGGACAGCGCTCTCTCAGCACTCACTTGGGATAAATCCTACCCCCTGGGCACACACCCCCTCGGGGTTTCCATCTGTAACATGAAGGTGATAACTCCGACCTCGCCTTAGAACAGGGTAAAATCCAGGAGCGAGGCACCTGGAAGCACAGGTTAGTAAACCAGAAGGAAGCCTGGGGAGCAGTTTGCAAACAGGAACCCAGAGCCTGGGGTCAAGGAGCTCAGGGGCTGGAGGTCACACCCCTTCCCGCTCTGGGGGGAGCCCCCCGGGGGGAAGGAAAAGGGTGCCTGGCACCACATCTTGGGTGACCCTGAAGGGCAGGAAGCGAGGATATTTTTTCCACTGAGAAAGCTGATTTCATTTCTGAAAAAAAGTACCGTTCCCTAGACACCTTAGGTCCTGCCCCATCCAATCCTTACAAGGTGGGTCCTGTCCCTGTCGCCCTGTGACTCCAGAGGAAACGAAGCACAGAGAGGCCACGGAACTCGCGCGAGGTGGCAAAGCTACCACACGGGGAAGTGGGGCTGGAACTCGGGTCCGACCCCCAGGGGCTGCCCCGCGCCTCTGGGATGGTCCACGGCACGCGCCCCGGCCGGGCCTCCCGCTCTCCCCTCGCCCGGTCCACGCGTGCCCGAGGCTGACGCGCGCCCACTGCGCGGACGGGCCGACTGAGGCCGCTGCCCACCTTCTGGTGCTTGCGCTCCTTCTCGATGCGGTCCATCCTCTCCAGGCGCAGGCGGTCCAGCTCCAGGCGCAGCTCGTCCAGCTCGGGCGCGACGTGGTGGCGGCTGACCAGCACCTCCAGGATCTCCAGGACGCGCACGACCTTGGGCATGAGGCGCGCGATGGCCTCGCAGCCGTGCTGGTCGATGACCCGCTCGAACTCGTGGCCCACGAGCGACGCGATGTCGTACACGTCCATGACCGTCAGGTCCGCCGCGCTCTTCTCCAGCGCGGGCTCCGGCCCCGCGTCCTGCTCCATGGCCCCCCGCCCGGCCTGCCCCGGCCCCAAAACTCGTGCAACTCGCGAACTTGCCGCTGTCGGGGGCAGCGCCCGGCCGGGCCCACCG